AAACTAACTCTGGAGGAAATATAAAATTTGAATAGCACCTATTAAAGAAAGTATATTCCTAGCTTGAAAACTTACCTATATGATAACACCAGGCTCATAAACATTTTAACTGATAAATGATATCAAACAATTAAAGCAGAAAAAAGAATTCAGGGTATAAATTTTGAATACCCTTTATCAGATTTATTTCTAAGTAATGAATTCTGATGTTACTGCATATGGTACTAGCTTGGTAGATTTGTTTCCTATTGTTTATATCTAGCAAATTCAAAAGCAGTTTGTTTTTGTATTATGATCACATAGACTGAAACCTTTCAAAGTCATTCTTATTTATTTTTATTTTTTTGGTACCGGGGATCGAACTCGAGTCCTTCTGCTTGTGAGGCAGGCAGCGGAACCACTAAACTAAATCCCCGGTCCAAAGTCATTCTTATTTTAATAGATGCTTTTTATCAAGTTAAGAAGATCTTTTCAATGTTTATGCAAAACTTTTATAAGGAATGCATATTCAGTTTTATCAAATGCGTTGGATGATTTATTGCAAAGATTATTGTTTTTTTAAAAAAACTCCAAATATAGTGATTTACACTGATTTGATTCTAAGCTATTAAACTGACTTTCATTCCTGGAATAAAGCTCACTTGATCATGATGTATTATCTTTTTTAAAATTTATTTTTAATTTCAGTTTGATGAGACTACATTTCTGTAAATTTCTCTATTCTCCTTGCAGTTCTATCAGTTTTCAGCTCTGCTATTAGGTATGTAAACATTTAGGATTGCTTTCTTCACATGAAGAATTGGCCCATTTATCAATATAAAATGATCCTGTTTTTTCCAGTTTGTATCTTTTACTCTGAAATCTTCCTGGTCTGCTATAAATCAAATTATTTTACTAATCCAGGCTTTTTTCCAGTTAATGTTAGCATGCTGTATCTTCTCTATACTTTTATTTTTCATTTGTTTATATGTTTATATTTAAACAGCTTTCTTTTAGGCAGTATATGGTTGGATCTTGTTTTTAAAATGTAATTGGCGTGTTTAAACTGTTTATGCTTATAGATATGATTGGATTTAAATATACTGTTTTACTATTTGACTTTTTGTCTCATTTGCTTATTTGCCCTATCTTTTTTCCTACCCCTTTTTTATTACATAAGTTTTTAGGATGGTTTTATTTTATTACATCCTGTGTTGGCAAATTAGTAATAACTGTTATGTTTTATTTATAACTGTTTATTTTATTTTAATGGCTGATTTGAGACTTAGTTGTTTAGCTCAAACTGATTCTGTTCTCTCTTCAATTGATAGTATAATATTTAAGATCAAGCACTTGAAGAAAATAAATTCCATGTCTCCCTTGTTGGTTTTTGTGCTATTTTTACACATGTAACTTCTTGTGTGTTATAAACCTTACAGTACATTGTGGTTATCTTTGCTTTCAAGAGTAAGTTATCTTTACAAAGTATTAAATAATGATAAGCGTTTTTCTATTTACCCCCATAGTTACCATTTCCCCATTTCAGAACGCTTCTCTCTCATCACCTCAGCCAAAGCAGTCTCAGGAGGGGCACAATTTAAAAATTTGGCTTCATGCTATGAACAAAGCTAATTTATCTTGCCTTCTTGTCAATAAAAGAGAACAGCTGGCTATTAAGGACACATTGATGATCACTAATAACTCAATATGGTGGAAGCAATAAGAAGACATCGTCGCTCCTGAAAATCACCGAGCTCCTCAAAATTCGCCAACTCATTTCCTCTATTTGCTAAATACATGATGCTTATGCACTGTCTTGCCCCTGGAATAATTTTCATCTGTCTTTCACTCTTTGGGTATTGAAAAATCCAAGAGGAAGTGACAAGATAATTCAGACACTCATCACCTCCTTAGCTCCTTGGCATTGCCATTGTACCCTGGGAAGGCCAAGACCTTGAGCTGCAGGTGCTGTGGACACACAGCCCAACAGATAACCATTATGAACTTGGCACTCACAGTCCAGATTTTGGAGGACAGAGAAGATATAGTCCTTTTATACCCTCAACATTGATGCAAAATATGATGCTGGTACAGAAAGCTGACCTAAGAGGGCCAGGTGCCTGGTACCATCCTTTTCCCATTTGCCAGCTGTTTTCTCTTGGCTGCATTGTGAGAAAAGCTTGTTCCGATCTGATCACATCAGACAAGTGCAGGTGTGCAGACATGGCGAGGTTTTGGCACAAGTAACTCGTCTAGGCTAGGATAAGAGTACAGGTGTGGAGCAAGGTTCCTTTCCCTAGTTCTGCCTGTACAATAAAAGCTGAATGTTGACATGGGGCCACCAGGCTTCTGGCTGACGGTTCTCATCTCACAATTTCTATAGAGGCATATAGACATTGACTAATGAAAAATAAAGTTTACACCGAAGCTGGGGAAGAATCTATACCAAACCCAGTTAACATGGACTGATTAGCACAAGGCAGTATGCCAACGGTAGGAATAACTCCAAGAAGTATGATCCATGCCCTGGTCCTCAAATTATTCAAATCTGGATATAAACAGTAAAAGATGATCCAAGACAAATGATAATATTTAAAGAAATGGCTTAATGAGGCAATGTAGCCAATGCCAAATGAAGGTTGTTGATAGTGAATTAATGGAGATGGAGGAAATATACACTAACGACACCCTGGTGGCCAAGAGAAAACAGAAATGGGATTATTTTGAATTAGGAGAATGCCCACCGAAGTGGTCAGTTCAAAAAGTAGTAAACCAATTTGAAGGAGATAAAACCACATGCTTTGGACCAGAAACTAAGTGTTTCGTGTGGGGCTGGGGGAGGAGAGAAGTGTAAGAGAACTTCATTGGTTTGGGGAACTGAGATATTGCTGTAGCACCACAGTGATGAAAAAGCCTGCATCCTGGAGCTTGGTCACTGACACACAACCTCGAGCAAGTTCATCTCACTCTTCTAAATCTCAGTTTCTTCATCTGCAAAATAGGAAGAATATTTTTTGATTCCTTCAAAGGGTTGGTGCAGGATTAAATGAGCTATCACATAGCAACTAAGCACCTAACACTATCTGATAGAAAGTAAATATTTTATAAATATTAGCTAATAATGATGGCAGTTTCACTGGGGGCAAAATTAGTTCGGACTGTGCCTTAAATAAAATCGGTGACATGCACGCCCTAAGCAGCATGCTCATTTCCATGAGGTACCTGAAGCTGCAAGATTATACAACTAGCTGGGGGTCTGGGACAAGCTGTGGCATTCTGGCTTTCTGTTTCATGACTTTCCTTTCTCATCACATCACAGTCTGTCCTTAGAAAGCCAGAAATGGTGGGTGAGATCAATTAGGGACAGAATTGGACAGATTTGAACTCATTTTTACCTTAATTTGTTATCATCCTTTTGATGGTGGGTAAACTGTGAAATTTTGTTCAGGGGTCCTTATGTAGTTGCCTGTCAGCCTTTCATAACCAGCTGGAGGGGCAACAACGAAGCCTGGCATTTGACAGTGAAACTGCCTCCTGTGTCCCACAAGGTTCTGGCAGTCAGCCCACATGTCCGCCTGGGCCAAGCACTCGCTGGCCGGGTTTCAGGTCAGCAGAAAGTGACTCATTTTTGTTGTGCATTTGAAGAATGCAGGAAAATCACAGGTTTTAATGAGCATATTTAATTGGGGTTTTTTCTCATGGAAGAGACTACATCCTCTCGATGTCTGTCATATGAAGAGGGAAGATGAGAATCCTAATGACCCAAGCACAGCAGGGTTCATGTCAGCCACTGCAGACTTAGCTGTGGGGAAGCTCTAAGATATCAGGAAGAGACAATTCCAGTAGGGAGCCTGCTCAAGAAAGGGGGCTCTGTCCTTATGGGAAATGTAGTGGGAGGGGAGCGAAGTTAGGATCCTTTTCCTCAGAGCTAGGATGTGTTACTTCTGTTTGAGGCTTTCCAAGTGACCAGAAATATTGCAGTGTCCTCTGAGTTATAAATTGGCTATCATGGCTTTCCTAGCTGTGTTCAGGGGGACTGGATGGAGATAAATTGTGGATTTAATGTGATTCAATTACA